CCCCACCCACATGGGCGCGCGGGGGGGGGGGGGAAGAAGCCCCCCCCCCTGCCGCCGCTCCTCCTCCTCCTCTCAGTGCGCCTGCCCTGCCTGGCAGGGAAAACATTTATTTTTATTTGCTGCGCTTTAGAATAAAGCCCCAGGGCCTCAGCGGGTCTTATTCACATGTGTGTGCATGAAGGAGCGCCTCGGCGCCTGGCAGCACCAGCAGTAAGCGCCACCAGACAAGCGCAACGCCTCCCGGCACCTGGTAACTAAGCCCTTCCCTCCTCCCGGCTGCCTCCATTCCCCCAGCCCAGAGCAGGCAACGTGCGCTTCCGTTGGGCACGGCCCGCGTTCCCTTGCGCGGGTCGCGGGCGGCCAGAGCTTTGGCTGGCTGCTCCTTTTCAAAGCCTGCAAGCACCGTTTGTGCGCGGTGCGCGCAGCCCTGACCCGAAGCAGAGGCTTGCTGTGAAAATAAAGCCTTGGTTCTTCTGGGATTTCAGCCTGGGATATGTTCGTGGGGACCCTTCTAAAAGGTAGAGGAAGGACCTCCAGCTATTTTCCCAGAGAGGGCAGGGGAGATCCCTCCTCCCGTTCGGCTCATCCCTTTGCTACTTCCATTTAGTTTGAAAGCAACCTGCAGCCAACCCCGCCTGGGAAGTTTCCGTTCTGCTGCCTCCCAGCTCAGTGCATTCAAGGTGCCTTTGATAAGTCTGTGTGTAGCCGCTGGGAGTCGGACTGTTGCTTTCTCAGTTCTTCATCACAGGCAACCCCCACCTTCCTCTTCCAGCCCACATACCCGATTTGCTAGAGATGAAGGGGAGGGAGTGATGAAATGAACAAGAAGTGGCAAATTGATTAAGACTAGTTTCCTCTTCAAACGGCGGCTCGGAAGAGAAAGAAGCAGAGCGAGAATAGGCGGCAGCCCGAAGAGCTTGCAAAGAAGGGGTGGGGAGGCGAGCCCTGCTGTGGGCAGCGACTAAGCTTTCCTGCCTTTTGCAACGGCGGAGAATTGATTCTAGGCGCTAGGGGTGCTGGCTGTTCGGGCGCTTCTGCGGTTCGCCGTCGACATGCACGCGCGCTCCGTCTGACTGCATTTGACTTATAATGCCGGCTTCTCTTTGGAATGCAAAACCGTGCACAGGATGAAATCAGGTTTGTTACGACTGTTCTTTGTGTGTGCGTGTGTGTATATTTAAAAAAAAAACACTCCCCTCGTTCCCCCCAGATGTCAGAAAGGATCATAGCAACAAGACAGTGGCAGTCACCTCATTACGGTGTCTCTCGTGCTCATCTTTTGAGATTTTTTAAAAAGAGAGATGATGAATCTTTTATGCAGCTGGCTTCTCAGAACCATCCAGGAGCATCACAATTTGCACTAGATTGGTGCTTAAAAGAAATACAGTTTTTGAAAATGTAAGATCTGCTTCTTAAACGGTGGAAAATAAACATAGGTGGAGGGCAGGAAGCGGGGGTGGGGGGGTAAAAGGCAGTAAGGAGCCGGTGTGGTGAGTTTCTTTCTTGCTTTCAGTCCTCCGATAATTTTTTCCTAGTACTCTCCCCAACCCCCTGAGTCTTCAAGCTGAAAAGCAGTTGCATGGGTTTCTGTATCTTTGAAAAGTAAAATGGGGTTTTCTTGGTTGAGTTATGGATTAACTCCTCTCATTCTACTAAGCAGATTCTTTGCCAGCAATCTTTCCAGATGTGTTGTTAAAAAGCATGTATTGATTTCTTTCCATATTTTTCAGGTCACTCTGCCAGAATGCCAGAAGAAAATTCCCCAAGGAGAACTCCTCAGAAAATCCCGTACCAGGACCTTCCTCACTTGGTCAATGCTGATGGGCAGTATCTTTTCTGCAGGTACTGGAAGCCGGCTGCCACTCCAAGGTGACCATTGTTAAACCGTGTATTTGTTGTGTGTGATAAATACACCATTCATTCAGTTCCACTGCTGTTTGTACAGCAGTCCATGAAGTAGTACAACTGTCCTCACCCCAGACAATCTCTTAGGAAAAGATACCTTGATCCTTTAGCCTTTGCACTAAACTAATGCAGTAGGTTGAAATGTTGCTTTTGAGTAGCAGTTGCTAAACCCATGAAGTGCTTGTATATTTCTGCAGTAAGAGAAGATCTGGTTATTAATCATTCAGCCTCCTACTCATGAGAATAAGACTTGTTACTTGCATAAGTAAAAGCAACTCAGATGAGTAAGGTTTGATAATTTGGACAATTCTCTTTCTGTCTTTCTTCCTCTCTTAGTTCAGTGAAATAAAATGCCATGTGAAAAGCAGTAAACCCTGTGTTTTGGCATTGAAATAGGTATCTTGATTGGGCAGTATTACATTCAAAAGGTATGTGAAGCCTAGGTTACTCCATCCTTCCCACTATTTTAGCATCAGCAGCAGGTCAAAACTTCAGAGCCCTGTTACAATTGCTATAAATCTATCATTGGTAGCTAGGTTTTATAAGTTATGTATCAGTTACATTTTGTCATTTAGTTACATTCTTCTGTATCTTGGCTATAGTATTATGTGGACCTCTACAACACAAAATATACTTAAAATAATCTAAGTAAATGGCTAGCCATTAGGTAATCCCATTTTCATAATCCCATACAAAATAATGTCTTTGTACTTGTAATTTATAATTCAGGAAGCCTGGGATATTATATTGTGGATGAACATATTGTTTGGATTTTCTCAGTAATTATTATTTCTTTTCTTTCTGTGTTGTGACTTAATATAATTGTTGGTTCTATTTGTGGAGAAGAGTAATGCACATAAAAAGGTGGCATTATTGTTCAGAATAATCTTTTTTACTTTTATAGTACAAGACAATTTCCAATTTTGGAAAATAGTTACCCAAAAGCAGCTCTTCTATTTCAATGGATTTTATAGTATTCCAGCTTGAGTAGTTAATAAACTTTGTATGATGTGCTAAGTGATTCATAAAAGGATAAAGACAGAAACACATTAAGTCAAATCAATGATCTGTCTAACTTATTTTTCCAAAAAGAAGAGTGTAAGTGGCACAAACATAGGGTAACATCTTCTGCATGGTCATCCCCAGTTTTCACACTAGGTTTTTGGAGGGTTTCTGTTCATTTCTGTGAATTTAGAGACAGGTTGCAAGGCACAGTGGACTATTGATTTTAACCATGTGGATGTTTTATGAAACCTTGTGGTATCAGTTACTTACCACATATGTGACATTTATGAACCATGGGAGTTAAAGACCAGTCAAAGCACTCCTTTCAACAAAATATACTTTTTTCCAATTATTTGAGAATTGCTTTCTTTACCATAATGTACTGTTTTCCATATCATTCATGTATGGTTCATTTAAAAATCCATTCATCTCATTCAGGGCCCACCTTAAGCCTCCAACCTTTCACCTAGAAACCAAACCTGAAAAGTCTTCGCACTTTGTTCTCTTCAGCACCCAAAGTTACACTCCAAAATAGAACTTCAGAGTCATTTCAAAAGCATTGCTTCAGTAGCTTGTCTCTTTTTTCCTGGCTTTTTGAGCTCTAGATGTATGCATTGACGGGTTTTTTTTTTCCTGAGTCCTGCTAAGGTCGGGAACAAAGCTAACGTGATTTGGAGCTGCCTTTGAAGCATCTCTTTGGGTCTGGCTTTGATTGCGTGTTTCATACGGTAGCTTCATCAAACCCAAGGGAAAACTTTTGGGCAATACTTGTAATGAGAGTCCTCACATCATCCTAAAGATTTCCACAATTGAACAAATTTAATCTTAAAACAAGCTTCGTCTGTGAAAACTATCCTGCCCCTATTATAATGCTAATTAATCATTAACTGCCTACAGTGTTTTTCAGTGAGTTGCTGAGCTGCATTCTCCATTTCCTGTTTAATTTCTTAGCAAATTAGTGTTGTTCACATGAGTCTTTGATCAAGAAATGAAAGGATGGTAAAGAAGCGAAAGTTAGAACTTGGCATTTCAGGCCTCCTGGTAGCTTGTCTTGTTACAGCTCTGCATGCCCCAAGTGGTTAATTGATAGCAAGAGTGTCCTAGTTTTCTGACAACAAAGTAAACACAATCAGTTCTGTTCACTTACAAGTGGCTCTTAAATGTGTGGAACCATTTATTTTTAGCCCCTTTTGTATTGTGCTGGCAGAGTTTGAGAGGGAGATTATAGGTTGCTGGAGAATAATTTGTCAACTGCAGCCAACTTTCATGGGACAGTCATGAAATACGTGGAGAAAGAGATTCCTCATTCTCTTCCATGTATGGTTTATTTCCATGACTCATCTGTGGACGCTCTGCAGATTTGCTTTGTTTTAAATGACAAACGGCCATAGTTGGAGGACAGCCTTGAATCGCTTTTAAAGTACTATTAATCTGACAGAATTTCAGATACAGAAGAAGAATCAGTTGTAGTTTTGTTAGCTATAACACAAGAGATTCACACGTTTCTCCTCTTGAGTATAGGTTTTGACTCAGAAGGCCACTGGAATTTATAAGAAAAACACTAAGAGCTGCAAGACTTTCTGCATTGTGAGAACTTTTGAACATTCTATATGCAGAAGTTGTTCCATGCAAATACCTCCCTGCGTGAAGTGGAACTAAAACCGAAAAAGCCAGCACACATAAACTTTATCAGCACGCTTGCTCTATCATTCATAGTGTTACATTTGAGGACATACAGGTTTAACATGTCAGATGCATTGTATGAGCAGTTTGCCAGAAGCAGTTCTGATTGTGCATGCATTTTGTCTCTGCATTTCAGGTGTTTTTTTCGTAAGGAGGAAAAGCAGCACATCTCAACTAACCATTTTTGCTTAAATAGTTTGGAACTTTTTTCTCACTGGCACATTCAAGCTAGAATTAGATATTTGTTTTTTTAAGAATTTATATAATTGGATCAAAGTTATCTACCAAGATTATTCCACTAGGGATGCCAACCTAGAGCATATTGTGGAATAATCTTGATAGGTAAGTTTTATCTCAGATTTCCTAGAAAAGTAGTTATTGTCATCCAGTGTGATTAAAGTTATAGGTAAGTACTGAAAAGCAAGTGATACAGGAGTGAAAATCAATTAGATGTGCAGACAATAAGAATGATCATTCCCCGAGTTCAGTTTACACTTACCTGAGTGCCCCTATCACTTGTATGTTTTTTGTTCAGGCACCTTTTGCAGACATTCACCCTTTTTTCTATGGCTACGATGAGTGGAAGAAAAGATCCTGGTAATTGTCATATCATGCCCACAATCATTCTAAATGTATAGAACTGCATGGTGATTAATAGACTCAGGTCTCCCTGTCAGATTTCCTTTGGCTGAGCAGATGGAATTAATTTAATAAAATTGATCCTGCATTTGGTGAGTAAATAAGGGGTAGATGGGAGAAGAGGCAAAAGTATTTGGATTTCAGGTTAAGGAAGGGAATGGAGAAAGACTGAGACCTTGAGAAGAGGTAACAGACATTGCTGAACCACTGGCACAATAGAACCAGCATAAAATTCTAAGCTGAGTTGGGGAAAAGAAAAAAAGGTAGTGGAGGTGGTTTTTTGCAGAATTGTGGTATGGCCCCTTTTTAAGGCCAATCTTGGGTGTACTGTTGGCTTACCATGTCCTTTCCTATTTCCTAGTGTGCAGGTAAGCAACCTGATGCCTCCAGTTATTTTGGATGTCACTTCCCATCAGCCACAGTCAACATGGCCAGCTTAAAAAGATTACAGGAGTTGTAATCCAAAACTTCTGGAGTCCTAGGTTGCTTATCGTTGTCCTGGTAAGTGCAACATAGAAACATGGAGGCCATTGACTCAGTGAGAGAACCAGTTGTGCCTTGGGCAAAGTGACAACCAGATTACAGACAACCTCTTATACTGTGGGGTAGACTAAAAAATTTTCATGATTTATTTTAGGATGGGCATTTTACTTAGTACATGGCAGAATGTGTGGGATTTTTTGTTCTCTAAAGTAATTGGCTGTTGAGGTAAAGCAGTGCAGCTGTGCCTCTCCACCTGCAGAAGCATTTCAACTTATTGAACTTGATTTGTGTGAACTGTGATTAAGTCCTTTTAAAATGCAAATGAATTTGATACGTAACATGGGTTGGGACAGCTGAGTCATTTCTCATAACAAGAAACAATGTTTGTTTGTTTTAAAGCTGTGATCAGATCTCTCATACTAAATAAGGTAGCAATGTATAATTTAAGTTTTAGCTGCACAGTATATGAGCAAGTTCAGAAGAGTTCAACATTGTTTGGAAAATTGGATAATCATTAATGCAAGGAAATAGGAAACCTACATTTTAATACAGTCATTGTGCAACTATACATTTTCACCATGGTTAAACCTAGTCTTTCATATAAGATCTTTAAGACTACAATCCTAGGCCCACTTATTTGGAAGTAAGCCCCACTGAACTCAGATTTATTTCTAAGTACTTCTGTGTAAATATGGGGAAAGAAATATATATCATGTTTCAGTAAAATTTCCCTCTATCTATTTCAGTTCTGTTTTCTGTTCTCCCAGTGACTCTCTATCAAAGTGAATCTATTAAGAGCTTCTTAAATATTACATTTTTATTCCCATGTATGTCTGCATAAAGCATCTGATCGTGGTGAGGTAAAAACATGCTTATTTCTTCTGTGGTCTGAGCCTGCCTTTTGTTGTGTTTAATAAACTAATACATGGTTTCCCCTATGTTTGACTATAACAAGCTCACACACACCATTTAAGGAAGGTGCTTGTTTTGAGTTCCATAGGCAGAAGAGAATTACATCATCTTTTATTAGGAAGCCAACACGACTGCTATTTTTCTGCAAAAAAAAAAAAAAATGAAGCTTGCTCTTTCTACTCCCTTTTTCTGGAACTCCATCTATGTGTGAGTATTCCACACTTAGAGAACATCATCCCAAA